GGCTCTGTGCTTTGGAGATAATCATTTTGTAGTCATCCTGTGAGGTCAATTCTGCCATCATACCCATTTCACAGATAATAAAACTGAGGCTAAGAGAAATGCTTTAGTTTGGGTTTCCCCAGAATCAAATCCCTGAGATAACAATTTGAGCGCAAGTGGCTTATTCGGGAAGTAACCCCAGGAAGCACCAGTAGGGGAACCAAGCCAGGGGAAGGGACTGTAAAGCTACATTGTCATGCGAGCTACCCCTGGGGAAAACGAGCTGAATCCTGCTGGAGAATTCTGGGAGCCAGTGTGGAACACACATCTTGGGGTTATCCCAACCAAGGGTAGAGGGAACTGTGTATTATTCACCAACTCCTGACAGTCATGGGTCAAAGGCTGTAGGGTGTGAGGATGCATTTTCCAGCCCCTTTTCTCTTCTTTTTTTTGTCTTTTCTTCTTTTCTTTCTTTCTTTCTTGTCAGAGTCTTGCTCTGTTGCCCAGGCTGGAGTACAGTGACACAATCTCAGCTCACTGCAACCTTCACCTCCTGGGTTCCAGCAATTCTCCTATCGTATCCTCCTGAGTAGCTGGGACTACAAGTATGCACCACCACACCTGACTAATTTTTGTGTTTTTAGTAGAGACAGGGTTTCACCATGTTGACAAGGCTGGTCTTGAACTCCTGACCTCAGGTGATCTGCCCACCTTGGCCTCCCAAACTGCTGGGATTACAGGCATGAGCCACTGCACCCAGCCCCTTCTCTCTTCCTTGACTCTAAGATCTGACTCTTGCCAGAAATCCTCAGGCGAAGAGATGCAGAGCTGGCCAATGGAAGCAGGGCTGGAGTCCGCTAAAAAGATAAGGCCCCATGGGGATGGGTGGGTCACCAGCTGCACCTAGCACTAGAGTGGGATAACTTTCCCAAAGGTCACACAGCTAGTGAGCTACAGGGCTGAGATTTGAACCCAGGCCTGGCGAGGGAGGCTCAAGCCCATCCCTCCAGAAGTGAGTAGCAGGAGAGACACAAAAGTAATTTTCTGAGGTCGACCAGTGCTGGATGGGGTTGGATATCAGCCAGGTTTATAAAGATGTGTAAGATGCAATCTTACTGTCCTCTCTGAGGGTCTGGTGGGGGCTCCATGCACAAATATGAACCTAAAGGCACCAGGAGGGGATAGCTAAGTGCTCTGTGTAAGGCAGGGCAGTGAGTTACCTGGAACAGGAAGAAAGCACATCCAGGTGGGGTGATCTGAGCTGACTTCCTGGAGGAGGTAGACACCAAGCTGGGCCATGCAGGATGGATGGGCAGGATGGGATGGGGGAGCTGACAGAGTCTGCTGGGAAGTAGTGGATGATGGAACAGCACAGGCCAAGGCCCAGAGGTGGACATGAGCCTGGCTGGGGCCCTTGGTGTTGAAAGAGAGTGGTGGGATTAGAGCCCACTGGGACCCTGGCGAGCAGGACCACCTTGCATTCGTCTACCTGGGACGCCATTGACCAATTCAGGTCTGGGAGCACAGAGTGAGCCTGGCTCTGTTTGTTCACTGGAACAAATGAATCTGCTACTTCCAAACTGACAGAGCCAGGCCAGGTTGCTCAGGGCCTGTGGCAAGAGGCAAAGGCCATGGAGCTTAGTTCATTTTCTAGGTGAGCACAAGTTAAAGCAAGGCCTTAGGCCTTAATCCCAGCCTCAGTGGTGCAAGAAACCTGGACATGCCTTCAGCCCTGGCAGGGGAGGCACCAGTCAGCCGAGGCCCAGAGAACTCTTCTACCATCCAGACGCTGAGTGTGGAGGATGTTGAGACCGTAGGTGAGTGCACTAAAAGAGTCAGCCATTCCCCACTGCCACCCACTCGCCACTCAGTTCTGAGGCAGTAGCAGCTGGGTCCGCCCTGAGAACGAGTAGAGGAGCCGTGCCCTCCGTTGCCCTCCCTGCCCTCTGCCTTTATACCCTACTTCTTCCTGTGCACCTCTATATTTTCGAGCCTAAGGAAAGCCCTGAGTGCACGTGCTGGGATGAAGATTGCCAGCTTTTACCCAGAGTTGCCATATGCATGATCTTACTTGATCCCCAGCGATTTCTATCAGGTAGGCGTTAGTGTTCCCATTTTCAAATGAGGCAACAGAGGCACAGAGAAGTCAGCTCACTTGCCTGAGGGCACACAGCTGGTAGGAGCAGAGTCTATCATCTGTGATCTTCAGCTGGCAAGGCCCTTTGCTGCACAATAGCGCTCCCACAGAACTGGCATCCATGTAATGATGTCATTGTTTCTAAAGATACAGACACCATAGGTGGTCTCCAGGCTGTGAGAACTCAAAAGGCCCTCAGAAACCGCCTGGGTCTAGCCCTGCTGGCAGCAATGAGAGACTGTGCTTCATTGTATCTGGCGGTGGTGCTCAGGAGGCTGGAGATCCAGGCCCTTTGTTGTGAATATCTGCATGACCTTGATCACATCCCACCCCTTCCCCGCTACCCACCTCCCCTGCCTGCAGCCTGCTTCTCTGATAAGGCTTTGGGAACATGCTAGCCCATTTTTTGATTTGTGTGCGTCCAGGAGCAAGGCAACCAAACTTTTGTTTTAGAATAGTTTTAGATTTACAGCAAAGTTGCAAAGATGGCGCAGGGAGTGCCCCTATACTCCACACCAGTTTCCTCATTGTTAACATCTAGCATTAGGGTAGTACCTTCGCCATCATTAAGAAACTGATCTTGATACATTGCCATTAACCAAAGTCCATACTTTATTCAGATTTCCTGTTTTTTGTTTTGTTTTTGAGATAGGCCTTGCTCTGTCAGCCAAGCTGGAGTGCAGTGGCATGATCACGGCTCACTGCAGCCCACCTCCCAGGCTCAAGTGATCCTCCTTCCTCAGCTTCCTGAGTAGCTGGGATTACAGGCACACACTACCATGCCCGGCTCATTTATTTTTTTTTACTTTTTGTAGAGATGAGGTCTCCCTGTGTTGCCCAGGCTGGTCTTGAACTCCTGGGTTCAGGCAATCCTCCCATACCTCTGGGGTTCCAGGCATGAGCCACCTGCATGGCCAGCTTTTACCTAATGCCTTTTCTCTGCTCTGGGATCCCATCCCACGTTACATTTAGTTACCATATCTCCTTAGGCTTCTCTTAGCTGTGACATTTGCTCAGACTTTCTTTGTTTTTGATGACCTTGGCAGTTTTGAGGAACAGTGGTCAGGTCTTTTACAGAACGTTCCTCCACCAGGACCTGTCTGATGGTGAGACTGGGGTTAGGGGTTTGGGGAGGAAGACCACAGTGGTAAAATATTCTGATCACATCATATCAAGGCAACAGACTATCAGAATGACTTACCATTGGTGATGTTGACCTTGATCATCTGCTTAGATTGTGTTTGTAGGTTTCTACACCTCAAGATGACTCTTTACCCACTCCCTCTCTAGACTGTCCTTTTTGGAAGGCAGTCAGTGTGCTCAGCCCACCTTTAAGGAATGGGAAATTAAACTCCACCTCCTCGATTTGGTATCTAATAAATTACTTGGAATTTGTCTTCACAAGAAGTTTGCCTTTTCTCTTCCATCTATGTATTAAGCCATTTACTTATATCAGTGTCGAACAGAGTACTTTTATACTTTGGACTATAATCCAATACTACTTTAAATATTTTGTTGCTCAAATTGTTCCAACTTTGGGCACTGGGAGTCTTTCAGTTGGTGCCTGTATGCCTTTGACACACCGTCATCATTGTGCATGTGGGTGTTTGTTTTTTGGAACACTTCGTCATTTCCTGGCAATACAAGGTATTCCACGCTCATCTTATATATTTCCTGCCCCAGTCTTAAAATCAGCCATTTCTCCAAGAAGCCCTGGTTCCTCCTATAGAGAATGATATTAGAAACCAAGATCTGGGCACCATGGGTGTTTGTTGCTACTGAAGTGTCAGTTGCTTCTAGGCCAAGGTGGTTTTTAATGAAAGAAACCTCTTTTAAGGTTGCTTTTGGTGGTGAGGGAGGTGAAAGGTTGGCTCAAAAGTTGCAATAAACTGAGCTGTGATATGGACCAGCCACCTAGGTGGTTCAAGGCACCCTCCCTAAGTGTGAGCCCAAGGAGTACCAATTCCATTCAGTATTAGTTTCGTAAAAACCCTCAGTGGGCCAGGCACAGTGGCTTATGCCTGTAATCCCAGCACTTTGGGAGGCTGAAGTGGGTAGATCACCTGAGGTCAGGAGTTCAAGACCAGCCTGGCCAACATGGCAAAACCCCATCTTTGCTAAAAATACAAAAAATTACCTGGGTGCAGTGGCAGTTGCCTATAATCCCAGCTACTTGGGAGGCTGAGGCGAGAGAATTGCTTGAATCCAGGAGGCGGAGTTTGCAGTGAGCTGAGGTTGCACTACTGCACTCCAGCCTGGGCAACAAGAGCAAAACTCCGTCTCAGAAAAGAAACTTTCAGTGAAGCCATTCTCTTGTGAGACCAGTGTAAAAGGCATAATCATCAGTTATTGCAGGATTACTTTGGCTAAGCACCATCTCTCATTTTTCCAGCAACCCTGCAAAGCAAGGGTATGATCTCTATTCCATAACTGAGGAGAATCAGCTCTGTGATGATAAGAAAACTTCCCGAGTCATACCACTACCAAATTATGGAAGTTGACTTAAACCCAAAACTGACTGTCTCCAAAAGCTTTAAAAAAGGTAGTGTCTTGGCCTCACCCCCAGAAATGCTTCGCTCTTTGTTTTGGAGTGAGCCTCAGCCATCCGCATGATTTTTTTTTTTTTTTTTTTGAAACAGAGTCTTGCTCTGTTGCCAGGCTAGAGTGCAGTGGTGCAATCTCATTTCACTGCAACCTCTGCCTCCCTGGCTCAAGTGATTTTACTGCCTCAGCCTCTCAAGTAGCTGGGATTACAGGCATGTGCCACCATGCCTGACTAATTTTTGTATTTTTAGTAGAGACAGGGTTTCACCATGTTGGCCAGGATGGTCTCGATCTCCTGACCTCGTGATCTGCCCACTTCAGCCTCCCAAAGTGCTGGGATTACAGGCATGAGCCACCACACCTGGCCTCATCAGCATGTTTTAAAAGCTTCCTGGATAATTCTGCTGTGCAACCAGAGTTGTGAATTGCTCTGTTCTATGCTAAAAGATGGGCCTCAGTTTCCCCATATGTAAAATAAAGGTATTGGGCAATATGTCCCTTAATTCCATTTCCAGTACTCAGTGGTTCTGAGGATTTGTGGCTTGACTTTCTTATAGCTTTGTATATGCGCATGCACACACACACACACCCCTAGGTGTGTCAGAGTCAGGACTGAGGATATGAGGACCTTTGTCTAGGATGGGCCCCAGCCACTGGCTGCCAACCTCTGCAGGCACAACCCCTGTGGATGTAGCCTCTCAGAAGAGTCAGCTACTTCTGTTTCTGCCCTAATGGGCATGATTGGAAATTTTCCCCAAGCAACTGGAAAATAATCCTAAAATAACTAAAGTGGAAAAGCAGATAGCTCTGAATTGTCCAGGCCAAAAATGAATGGTAAAAACAAAACCACTTAATGGTGCACTTAGCTTTGGATTTTTATGTATTTATTTGGAGAGGAAGAGGGGAGTGCGGTGGCTGCATAATTCTCTCCCTAAGCATATTCTGTCCCAGCTGTTAGTGAAATAAGTTGGTCTTTCCAAAACTCACGCTGGCTGAAGGTAGACAGGAAGAGGGTCTGAAGACTGGTGAGACCATTTCCTGGATTGCGTCAATTTACCATGAAACTCACCCTCTTGCAAGCCTCTTGGGGGCTGGGAAAGACCCCCAGGGCACTGATGCTAGAGGAGTATCTTCTGGAAGCGAGGAGTCCTGGAACTGCTCTGCCTACCTCCCTCACTATAGACTGGAAACAGTCAGCTCAGAAAGGGGAAGTGGCTTGCCCAGGGACACAGAGCAAACCAGTGTCAGAACTAGGAAGGACACAAGTGTCTGACCCACAGCCCAGTGCTCTTACCACTGCCCACTGTTGTTTTGACAGGGGGAGTTCCATGGGGGAATACTAAGTCTTCAAAGAAAATTGGACTCTCATAATGGCATGAGCCCAGCGGTTTGTACAACTGATGGAAGAGGATATTATATTTCTGCTGAGAGTAACTAATGCAGTACAGTGAGGGAAGAAAAATGGAGGAAGCACACACACACACACACACACACACACAGCTGACTCAGCAAGGCACAGACCAGGCTTGTTCCCAGGGAGGAGAGAGGTAGAGTAAGGACACTGGGCCTAGGAAGCTTTGTTGGTGGCTAATCAGAGAAGGCTTTCAGGAGCAGTGGCAGATGGAGGGTCCTACCGTGAGCATCAGTGTGAACTGCTCCATTGTAGGAACCCCACACAGCCCCCGCCATGAGTGTCCTGGAAGTGGACAAAGGTAGCCCCAGCCCCGGCACTTGCCTGCCCGTGTTTCCTCACTGCTCTCCACCTGGCTCATCCTCTCATCGAGGCCGAGCCCTGAAGTCAAGCTGCTCATCAGGATGCCTTTCCTTGTCTCAGGGTGCCCCATGTCCTGCCCTGTTGCCCTTCTGATTCATGGAGACATCTATGAACACTGACATCAGGAATGCTAGGGGCTTTGAGACAGTCATCCTCAGGGCCAGGAGGCAGGTAGAGGGGGTCTGAGGAAGGAAGTGTTATCAGAAAGAGGTCCCAAGCCAGACCCTAAGAAAGGGTTCTTGGACCTCAGGCGAGAATCAGGGGCAAGTCCACAGAGTAAAGTGAAGGCAAGTGTATTAGGAAAAGTCAGTGGATAAAGAACAGCTACTCCATAGGCAGAGCAGCGGGGTGGGTTGCTCCAGTGAATATACTTACAGTTATTTCTTGATCATATACTAAACAAGGGGTGGCTTATTCATGAGTTTTCTGGGGAAAAGGTAGGCAATTTCTAGAACTAAGGGTCCCCCACTTTTGAGACTATATAGGGTAACTTCTGGATGTGCCATGGCATTTGTAAACTGTCATGGCGCTGGTGGCAGTATCTTTTAGTATGCTACCACATTATAATTATCACATAATGAGCAGTGAGGATGACCAGAAGTCACTTGCATTGCCATGGGTGGGTTTGGGCCGGCTTCTTTACCACACCCTGTTTTATCAGCGGGGTCTTTGTGACCTGTATCTTGTACTGACCTGTCTCATCCTGTGACTGAGAATGCCTAACCTCCTGGGAATGCAGGCCAGCAGGTCTCAGCTGCCCCAGCCGCTTTTCAAGATGCAGCTGCTCTTGAGCTATAAGGAAGTTGCTCTTGAGCTATAAGGAAGTTGCTCTGGAGCTGTAAGGAAGTCAGGACGGGCCGCCTCTGACGGAAGTACCTCATACTGACTTCATGCTATATAGCAGGCACTCTTTTGATACCACCTGGGTAGCCTTTTCAATGATCCTTTGAGGCACGGGGGTGGTGGTGAGTGCTTTCAACTTCAAGTAACAGCAAGCCTGGTATGGTAGCCTCAGCCATAAGGATGCTATTGTTTATCTAGTGAGAAGTCTCGAGGTTGGGCTCCAGGGCTAGTTTAGCAGCTCTTTGATGCCTTCGGTTCCCACACTACTCCGCCTGGCTCCTCTCTATTCTTCTATTCCTCCATCTTCAAGGTGTTGGCTTTTGGTCCTCAGTTTCTCACCTCATGGTTGCAAAATGGCAGCTGCAGCTCCAGACACCTCACCCATTCAAAGGCAGGAGGTCACAGGCAAATGGCTTTCTCCTCCTAGGCTCTGCATTATTGTTAGGGAACACATGTTGTTCTAAATGCTTCATTGGCCATCCCGATGTGATGAAAGCCAGGAAAAGGGGTGAATGGCCAAGGAGAGCAGTATGGTCATGATCGGCTCTGACCAAATATAATACCTCTCCTGAGTCAGGACACATTGCCACCAGGGCCAGAATCAGGGTCTGTTAGCAAGGAAAGGGAGAGAGGACTGGTTCTTGGGGAGCTAACTCAGTAACTGTCACAGGCAGGAACGATTATGATCCCATTTCACAGAAAAAGAAGCTGCCCAGAGAGCTCACACAGCTTCAAGTGGCTGACTAAGGACTGAAGTTCAGTTGGGAAGTTCAGCTCCAGAGCATATGGGTGGAAGGGTCCAAGAAACAGTCCAAGGCCCAACACTCTAGACCTGCCACTTGAATACCTATCCCCTTTCCTGTCTCCTTACCAACCTGCACCTCACACTATTTTCGCATCTGCACAGAGGGTGTGATATTCTGAGCCTCAGGGAAGGAGCTGTTGCAGGTATCTAAATCCCTAGCCTGGTGCCTGGCACGGAGTACATGCTTATTTAACACCAGTGGGTTGGTTGGGCTAGAGGTTACATATTGTAGTGGTCACAACATGGCCTGAAGTCACATGGTTTGCATTCTTTTTCTGGCTCTGACTTTAACAAGTGATGTGACCTCAGGAGGTCATTTTACTTCTCTGAGTCTTAGTTTCTTTGGCTGTAGAGTGAGGGTCTGGACCACATCACTGGCTTTGAAACTTTCCCACTGAGCTATGTGTATTCATCAGCAGTACCTCATGGAAGAGAGTAGGGGATACCCAAAGGTGGAGGCCCCATGTCCATATACCCCATAGCTATATCATTACCTACTTTACGTAACAAACCAACCCAACATCAGTGGTTTACCACAGTCACTATTTTATTTGCTCACGATTCTGTGGGTCAGCAATTTGGGCTGGGTTCAGCTGAGTGGTTCTTCTGCTGGTCTTTTCTGGGGTCAGTCATGTGGCTGCAATCATCTGGCAGCTTGACTAAAGGTGGATGGTCTGTGATAGCCTCACTCGTGTCTTGTGGTAGGTGCTGGCTGTTGGCTGGGCCACACAACTCCAGCAGGCTAGCTCAGGCTTCTTTACGTGACAGCACAGTCCAAAGGGTGACATGGAAGCTGCATGCCTCTTGAAGCCCAAGCTCAGAACTTCACAGTGTCTCTTCTGCTGCATTTTTTTTTTTTTTTTTGGTCAGTGCCACTCCCAAGGTCACCCTGTTTTCACCAGGAGGTGAAAATAGACTCCATCTCTCGATAGGGGGAGCAACAAAGACTTTGTGGCTCTTTTTAATCTACTATGGAGGTGAAGGCTCTTTGAGTCCTTTTTCCTATCTCTTTGGTCCAGCTGCAAGCATAATAATAATCCTATTAGTAGTTGTCATTTATTTGTCTAATGATATTATGCACTTAACATCATAGCATGTGATCGGGATCAGTAAATGAGAGCAATCTCTAATAATAATATAAATAATCATTAGGATTATAAGTTATTAAGTACATTCTCTGTGCCAGGCATTTTATATATATGATCAGCGATTCTCACAGTGACCCTGAATGATAGATATTATTGTCCTCATGTTCAGATGAGGAAATTGAGACCCCAAGAACTAAAAGTAACTTGCCCACAGCTGGTGAGGGACAGAGGTAGTATTTGTGTTTCACTGTGTCTCTAAACAGCTGGCTGCAGGGGGCAGAAAGGGGGAAGTAAGGTGGGCTTTGAGACTTTTCTTATGAAACCCCCAAAGGTGTTGGAGAAAGGGCTCTGGGTGGTCCTCCAGCTCTCCACCCTGCCGTGTACTCACCTGCAACAGCCGTCATGGACAACATCCCCTTGGAGTTTGACCTAAGGACACCTGATCAGGGAGTGGGCAGGTGGGTAACGTGGATATAAACAGCTCATGAAGATAGTCTGCTGCGTGATACTGTCTTGGGCTAAACTCTGCCAGGTTTAAGCTGAGATAATTCATAATCTAAAGTGTTCTTCAGGCGTCACTGTGGCACAGTGATGCTGTTATTGAGGTGCTGTCTGTGAATACCATCTAGAACGGTCTCCATGACTAACTCAGCAGCTAAACTTCCCCAGAGGGGAACAGAACAGACCCTCTTATTCCAGTTGGCCAAGGTAGACCACTGACCCAGGCTCTGCCCATAGCAGGTACCTGTCAGTGTCATCCTCATCCATGGTCACCTGGGCAGGAAGCATCAGAGGACTCCTGGAGCCAGGCCAAACTCAGAGTCCCTCCCTGCCCTACTGTCCGTTGTGAACTCAGAGCCTCCAGCCTGCTTTTCAGTCAGAAGGCAAGAGCCACATGAAAGCCCTGTGGCCATGCTGAAAGTGTGGGTGATGGGTTCAGAACTGGGGAGCTGCAGAGTCCAACCTCAGGGGCTTTGCATTCCTGTCGACACTCCGTCCCCAGCGAGTAGATAACACAGCACGACAGCGAGAGGGGTGAGATGCTGCACCATGTGATGGGGATGCCTGGCCCTAGTCCTGCTCTGGCAGTTGCCGTCTGTGTGGCTCTGGGGAGGACTGAGTGATACCACATGTAAGGCGCCTGGCCCAGTGTGCACACGCTAGCCACCATTTGAACTTCTGGCTTGTACTGTGGATTTGAACCACTCTCTCTTTAGTTTATCATCTTGTATTTGCCTCCTTTTGCCCTGGATCTGTAAGTTTCAACTCTTCTGGGGTCAGGTAATCCCTTCTGATTCTTTTTCACAATAAACACACATGGTGGACAGACCCCCAGGTCTAGGTGAAGCCTGAGACTGGGAGACAAAAGGGCAAAGCCAGCTGCAGGTTGGGTGAGTGGAGCACGGTCCTCAGTGAGCGTCCTGTTGGGTGCTTTCCTCTGCAACTTCTCCATACATCTTCCAACCAGAGAGGCAGGGCCTTGGTTTCATTTTTTCTTTCTGCTGGGTGGTGGCAGGTGTTGCCACTGCCATTTACAGACTAGAACCCGGAGGCTCAGGGAAGCCATACAATCACTCAGAGTCACAGGGCTGATACCTGGCCGCTCAGGGCCATCTGGGAGCCCAGGAAGAAATACATAGTTTGTGGGCCTGCCCCCAGCTGGAGGAGCTCCCTCTGAGGGCTTCTGCCTTTTTTTCTTTCTCTCTTGGAATGTGAGGATGGAGAACAGGGTTCATGTCTGAACAAAGTGAGAAAACCTAGAAATAGCTATGGGCTGGCTGTGAAAGAGCCAATTCGGTGCAGAGCACCATCGAAGGTCAGCCTAGTTGAAAACAGCAACCAGAATTTGTCATGCCAGTCACCCTAGGGACAGATCAGTGGGGACTGGGGAGGAGGGGTCAAAAGAGTAAGGGGAGAAAGTAACCATCAATAGAGTAAAAAATATGTGTCGTACTGTGTGACCCTGGGCTGTGGAGATCTGCACCCTCCAACAAGAAGTCTACCCTTATTGTAGGCAAGGGACTTCTATTTTATTTTCTTCTGTTTCATCCTGGAAAAAGAAAGGTTGGGTGGCATTCACACTAATGGATCATGACCTGCAGTTTGAAAAACACTGGCCTTCCTTCCTGTGCCATTCCTGACACCTAAAGATGGGGCAGCCCTGCCATGTGCCTGTGCTTCTAACCAGTGACCTGGGTGTGTGTCCCCAACAGGTGCACCACAAAGAGAGCACTTTCCCGGTGTGGACAGAAATCTGCAGTTTGGTTGCAATTTAAGAGCCTCCAGCCTCAGCTCCTGCCCTGGCTTGGAGTCAGGGGTCAGAATTTGCCTTCCCAGGAGTACCACTGGCTTCTGCTCTGCCTTTCTTTCCATGTTCCGCTCAGCAGGGAGGCCCTGTAGGCACCCCAGAGTTCCCTTGCTGCAGATACACACACACACACACACACACACACACACACACATACACACACACACACACACACTCACACACTCACACACTGTCAACCTTAAATAATGACATTCAGGCCGGGCACCGTGGCTCATGCCTGTAATCCCAACACTTTGGGAGGCCAAGGTGGGTGGGTCACTTGAGTTCAGGAGTTGGAGACCAGCCTGGCCAACATGGTGAATGGACAACATGGTGAAGCCCCATCTCCACAAAAATACAGCAATTAGCCAGGTGTGGCAGTGCATGCCTATAATCCCAGCTACTCAGAATGCTGAGGCGGGAGAATCACTTGAACCCTGGAGGCAGAGGTTGCAGTGAACTGAGATCGTGCTACTGCACTTCAGCCTCAGTGACAAAGTAAGACTCTGTCTCAAAAAAAAAAAAAAAAAAGAAAGATGACATTCAGAAAATGTGATTAGGTATGGTGTTTATGCTAGCACAAAACTTGAGGGTAGCCACCCAGGAGACACCGACTGTAAATGAACGAGGCCAACGTTCAAGGTGAAGTTACAGTTTTACTTATACAGGCAGAGACAGAGAAGTTTTAGCAGGATGACATTTTCCATATGAAACCACTTCGTGCCCCAGTGACTTGATTGCTTACAGATTGCTACATCCTGGGAAGGTTACTTATTACTCCAGTTAAATTAAGTTTAGCCTAACACTGCCTCCTTACATATTTTAAGTTCTGCCTAAATGTTTCTCTAGATGAACCGTAACCTAACTGGAGGTGTAAACGGACTGTAAACTACCCTTGCAGCGATCACTGAGTCTTGGCCAGTCAGAGGTGGCCAACTGGTCAAAGGGTGTTCACATAAGGCAAATGTCGAGCTGTAACCAATCCAGCTGTTTCTGTAGCTCACTTCCATTTTTGTGTCCATTACTTTCCTTTTTCTGTCCATAAATCTTCCACTACGTGTCTATGCCAGAGTCTCTCTGAACCTAATCTGGTTCAGGAGTTGCCTGATTTGTGAATTATTCTTTGCCCAATTAAATTCTGTTAAATTTAATTGGTCTAAGGTTTTGCTTTTAATACTCTGTAAGAAGGAGAGTGTTCTGAGGGAGTCTTATCTCTGCTGCTGTTTGGTCTTAATTATTTACAGGAAATCGGCTGTAGAAGTTCCTGTTGCCTGCAGCATGACTCGGGTAGTGTAGCCACATTCCTCCCAAGGCTCTGAATAATGTGAAGTTCCAACAGCTTTAAGTCCCAATTATTTTAAGTGTGAATGATTTAATTTCACCCACACTCACACACACACACACACACACACACACAGACACATGCACACTCACTTACAGTGTTCTGATACCAGCTGGGTGTCCAACAATTTGGACACTACCCAGAGTTAGTGCAGACCCCTTGGGCTGCTCCTCCTTCAGATGCCAGCCACGAGTGGGCTTCCCAGGCTACCTGCACTCCTGTCCAATTTGGCTTCGAATTCGGGAGTTCCCATGATCCTCATTCAAGTTTGATAATCTGATAGGACAACATAAAGACTCACAAAGTGTTGTACCTCCAGTTACAGTTTTGTATAAAGGATACAACAGAGGAACCACCAAATGGAAAAGGCACATAGGATGAGGCCTGGGGCAGCGCAGCTGCAGAGTCCTCATCACTTCTCCTCCTATTAGCAGGGGGAGTCCATGTGGGTCTGCAGCATCCTCAGTCCTTGACTCCTCAGAAGAAAGAATTCAACCAAGGGGGTGTAAGGCAGAGTAAGAGACTGAGGCAAGTTTTTGAGCAGGAGTGAAAGTTTATTAAAGCTTTCAAGCAGGAACAAAAGGAAGGAAATTACACATGGAAGAGGGCCAGGCCGGTGGCTTGAGATCACGTGCACGGTTTGATCTTTGCCTTAGGGTTTTCAGTGTTGGCATGCTTCCAGGGTCTTGCATCCCTTCTGCCCTGAGTCTTGGAGTGGGCTTCTTCCCTTGGGGTGGGCTGTCCGTGTGCGCAGTGGTCTGCCAGAGCCTGGGAGGGGTCACATGCGCAGTGTGTTTACTGGAGTTGTGCACATGCTCAATGGAGGTGTTCTTGCCTTACCAGTCCAGTGTTTCTAGAATAAGGTCCTATACCAGTTACGCTCTGCCCTTTTTCCTCTTAGTGCTCATGCTTGAGCCCACTGGCGCAGCTTGTGAGATGTTATCGAGAAGATGCTGATCATGGGTTTTCAGGTTTTTTCTACTGGGAGACCGTTTCCCTGGTGTGCCAGCCGCAACTAATTATTATTTTAGAGAGACAGTTAATAACCACCTGCCCATCACATCTGACGGTTGCCTGACATTCCGGGTAGGGGGAGGGGGACTCTCCTGCACTGCTCCTGTCTGACTACCTACTGTAACATTTCCCCCTCAAGAGTCCAAGACCCGAGTTCCTTGGGGAAAATGGATGGTCGGTCTTCTGTAACTGCTTCCTGCAGTTAGAGAGAGGGACAGTGGGGGTGGTTCTGTGGGTGTTGGCCTCTGCTAGCTGTCAGGACAGGTGGCTCCGTGGGTTGGTGAAAGTGGTATCCAGCCAAGTCCAAGGGATATAGGCAGGATTTTGCCTCTGTCATGTCCTACTGATGGGAAGTATATGGGTCTCCTGTGGAAGGATGACCTTTTGTGTGTGTGTGTGCGTGTGTGTGCGTGTGTGTGCGTGTGTGTGTGTGTGTGTGTGTGAGAGAGAGAGAGAGAGAGAGAGAGAGAGAGAGAGAGAGACTTGCTCTGTCGCCCAGGGTGGAATCCTCTGCCTCCCAGATTCAAGCTATTCTCCTGCCTCAGCCTCCTGAGCAGTTGGGATTACAGGTGTGTACCACTATACCTGACTAATTTTTATATTTTTAGTAGAAATGTGGTTTCACCGTGTTGGCCAGGCTGGTCTTGAACTCCTGACCTCAGGTGACCCACGCACCTCGGCCTCCCAAAGTGCTGTGATTACAGGCATGAGCCACTGTGCCCTGCCAGAAGAGTGACCCTTGAATATTGAGGAGACAGCATCTCTCACTGAGGATCACCTGGAGACGAATCGGGTTATTAGATTTAGGAGAATGTCAAAACAAAATAAGAGGGTGAGGGCAGCTCCAAAAAATCCCAAGGCTGGTGACACATCCAGGTAGCTAACACTCCTAGAAGCTGGGTGCATCTTCCCCCCAGCACATCTGTGTTCACCAGCCAGAACATCCAGAGGTTTCATTTCAGAGGGGTGATTGATTAAATCTTTGGCCATGTGATTGAACTCAGTCTCCAGTACCTGTCACCCTTCTGGAGGTCACAGGTGGGACCGAAGGCTCCAACCCTCTAAGCAGGTATTTAGTCTTCCTGTGGCCAGCCCCTCCCTTGAATCTAAGTTTCCACCAGGAGTTCCTGTCTAATAGCAGAAACTCAGGTAAGGTCAAAAGGGGTTTATTATGAATAATAAAAGACACTCTGATCTCTCAGGAAATTCCAAGGGTTTTCGAAGCTCTGTGCCAGGATTGGGTAAAAAGACTGGCTATGTGTTTCTGTCTTACCATACCACACTCACCCACACACACACTAAGATTCCCTCACACGCTGCTCATTCCCATGGGCCTACTGTGCAAGGAGACAGCTAGACCTTGAACCTCCAGAGGCAAAGCAACAACATTTATTTGAAAGACACCATGTCCTGGGGTCAGTTCAGCTTCAGGTGAATGCACTAGTTCAGTGATGCTGCAACTCCAGGTAGGGTGAGGATTTGGCAGGAGCTAAGGCTTGTCTCTGAGCCTCTGAGCAGAACGCCAGGGCTGGCAGAAGCATCTAGAGGTAAGCTGAGGCATCTAGAGGTAAGCGCCAGGGCTGGCAGATGCATCTAGAGGTAAGCTTCTAGAGGCATCTAGAGGTAAGCAGGACCACCTTCCATGCAGACAACACCCCCACCCCTGCCTGCCTCGCCTTTCCACCCCCAGTAAAGCAGTGTCATTTGTCTGGGGTAATACCTGAGTTCGTTGCCTCACACCAAGGAAATAAAGGACATGGACACACAAGGAATGAGGTTAACAGCGGAGGTTTAATAGGCAAAAGAAAGAGGAAAGCTCTCTCCTGCAGACAGAGGGGGTCCTGAACTGGTCTTCCAGTCCATGGTGAAGTGCAGGAGGTTTTATAGATGAGCTTGAGGAGGTGGTATCTGATTTACATATGGCAGCAGAGATTGGCTGGATAGGTGTGTCATTTGCATGCACTCGAAGAAGCTGGCTGCCCACGCTAATCTTTTATTATGCAGATGGTCTCTACCTGTCTGGGGCCAGGTTGCCTGTTTTTCTACTGTAAGCATGGTGACAAAGAAGATGGAAGTTGGAGCCTCCATGTTGAACATAGCTGGCTTCCAGGTAGCCCTTTTCTACTGGCACAGCTGCCAGCATTCACCCCTGCAAGCTTCTAGCTTGCTTGTCTATGTTTGTAGCTTGATTTTTCAGGCTGCTCTTTACTAGAAACTAAATGATTTGGGGGCTGCTTTTTGTTAAAAGAGAAGCTCTGCAGAGGACTCTTACCCTCACTATCGGCCTAAATAATTTCTTTTTAGCTCCTGTATCACCAGGAGTACCCCTTCCATCTCCTCCTGTTGCTCCTAGATCTAATTCTCTCTCCACCCTGCTCTGCTGGAGGAGAGGGGCTGCTAAAGACTCATTTCTAACCTGAGTTCAGTGACTAATGATTCATTGTGCTGCTGCTCTGGAAGGACCACACACTCTCACGGAGACCAGGATCTTAAGCCGCAGGGCCACCCTCTCTAAGCCAAATGGAGGCAAAATTGAGCGCTCAGTATCTAGGCCAGCAGGTCTCTGCCTTATTTAACCCAGCCCCTATTCCAGACGGGCTCACTCTGCTTCAAACACCTTTGACACAGATGTCCCAGTGTCCCTGCTATCCAGCCTTTCTTCAGCAGCCTTGGCCAGGCACCTGGTTTTCCAAACTCTAGCCCAGCAGCTTAGGGTTGGAGTGGGAGAGGCTTAAGCTCCCAGGGTGGTCCTGAGCTTTAGGTCTCAGCTCCAGCACTTACAGCCCTGTGATCATGAGCATTACTTGCCTCTCTGCCTCAGGTTCCTCATCTATAAAATGGGGATAACTATAGTGTCTCCCCATAGGTTTAATAGGAGAATTAAGGAGATCATAGAATCTAATGCACTGGTGTTTGGGTTTGGGGTAGACCAGGGAGGCTATTAGTAATAGCAACGTGGTTATAATATTTTATTAACAATTATGTATAACAACTATAGAATAACAATGATTATGATGACACAGCAATATAGTAATGTTAGTAATCAGTATAATGGCAGCAGAATTTGGGGTATCATCTATGCTTGGGTCCTTGTCCTCATGTTACCAGAAAGGGCTCCCGATCCAGACCCCAAGAGAAGATTCTTAGATCTGACACAAGAAAGAATTTGGGCAAGCCCGCAGAATAAGGTGAAAGCAAGTTTATTAGAGAAGTAAAGAAAACAAAAGAATGGCTGCTCTCTCCTGGTGTACTGTCTCATACTCACACTCGACTGAGCATGCTCATGGTTATTCCTTGACTATTTGCTAAACAAGGGGTGGATTGTTCATGAGTGTTCCAGGAAAGGGGCCGGCAGTTCCCAGAACTAAGGGTTCCTCCCTTTTTAGATGTAGGGTAACTTCCTGACGTTGCGGTGGCATCTATAAACTGTCATGGCACTGGTGGCAATGTCTTTTAGTATGCTGATGCATTATAATTAGCACATAATGAGCAATGAGGATGACCAGCAGCCACTTTGGTCGCCATCTTGGTTTTGGTGGGTTTTGACCAGCTTCTTTACCACATCCTGCCTTAACAGCAGGGTCTTTGTGACCTGTAACTTGTGCCAACCTCCCGTCTCATCCTGTGACTTAGAATGCCTGACCTCCTGGGAATGCAGGCCAGCAGGTCTCAGCCTCATTTTACCCAGCCCGTATTCGAGATGAGGTCACTCTGGTTCAAACATCTGTGACACAGATGTCCCAGTGTCCCTGCTCCCCAGCCTTTCTTCAGCAGCCTTGGCCAGACACCTAGTTTTCCAAACTCTAGCCCAGAAGTTTGGGGCCGAGTGGGAGAAGCCTAAGCTCCAGGGGTGGGGTCAAGACAGGAGCTGGGAGGGGAAGACACTGACCAAGTCCTGCCCCTATCGAGAGATGCCCCCTCCCCCTTCCTGGGGAAGCTGTGCCACAGGAGGCTGGGGAGATTCCAGAAGGTGTCACCTGGACAGGAGGGATGAGCTTCCTGGGACCTGCCGAGACTCAAAGGACATTTTAAAACAGCAGAGTTTGTAAAAAGCAGCAGAATCTCACTCCCCGTGCTTGCCCTCAGGACCCTCACTGGAGCAGAATCATTGCTCAAAGCATGAGAAGTAGAAGTGAGTGTCCGTGAACATGCTGGCTCTGCGTGAGACCTCAGCCAGTGCTTGGTTTCTAGAGCACAGCTGCATCCTCAGGGCCTAGAGGCATGGTTTTATCAGAAGAGAGTAAACCCACAGCAGAAGCAAGTCTTCCTGCGCAGGATTTGGGGTCTGCTGCAGAGGCCTGGTAGCATGGAGGTCCCAACCGTTGACACCAGTGTCCAGAGGCCGAATCTAGTTCTTCCCTTACAGCCGTGAGACCTTGGCCAGCATCATCTTCCAGAGCATGTCCTGTGGGCCAAGCCCTTATGGGCATTAACTCAGTCAGTCATTACACCAGCTTGAGGAGGGAGCGTCCTGTTACAATCAGAGAGTACCTCAGTTCCTTCATCTGTAAAATGGGGATAATAATAAAACTCACGTCATGGGGTGATGGAGAGGATGGAGCAAGTTACGATATGTGGAGTGTCATAACAGCTCCTGTCACAGAGAGAGCGCTGTATTAAGTATGAGCTATTTTTATTTTTTCGGGGGGGGAAAAGGTGTGAATTGACTAATATCTGTGATTGTTTCCAACAGCCTCCCCCAGAGCGTATGCTGGGATGAGAGTTGAAATTCAGCCTGACTCCCGTGCATTAGAGCTTTCCCGAGTGTGGACTCAGGACCACCCACATCAGAGCCAGCTGATTGCAGCCCCCTTACAGAACCAGCATCTTGAGGCAGTGGGATAGGAATTTTAAGATCTTACCCCTGCCGTGGACTCTGTGTCTCCAATACCCTTACAGAAACATTGATGTAATTGTACCCCTCAGTGGGCAGATGAGAATCTGAGGGTGCAGGAGCCTCAATGTGGACATGCTCTAGGTGATACAAGTCTCTTGGGGCAGAATTCCCAGTGCCCCTGGGGTGTTCTTGACCTCCCTAGCCTGCCTCCCTCATTCCAGGAACCTTCCAGATGACTTTGATCTCATTGCTGTCCTCCTCACCTTCACCCAAATCTTTGATTCACGGAGCTCTGTCCCCTTCTTTGATTTCAGATGTTTCTGGTCCGCCGGGACAGCAGCTCAAAACACCTGGTACTCTGTGTCCACTTTCCTTCCCTGAACGAGAGCTTGGCCGAGGTGCTCGAATACACCATTAAGGAAGAAAAGTCGAGTAAGTACCCATCTTCTCAGTTTTTACTTTGACCACACAGCAGCGGCAGCAGCAGAGAGGCTGCGCCTTCTAACCACAGGCTCTCCTCCATGCACTGATGGTGTTTAAAATTAGAAGGGGGAAAAGCTTTCAGTCGCTGAAGTTACTTGACCTGACTTGTTTTGAACTCGGTTCGTCACTCCAATGTCAGTGTGAATTTCCGCTCACTCTCATCGCAGCTGGTTGGCTTTGTGTTCTCATGGCCATGGTGAGGTTTCCTCCTGATAGCTCAGCGCAGGGACGCTGGAGAAAGAGAAGAAAAGGAGATGACATGTCTGTGCTCTTGGGTCCTAGTGTCAGCTCAGCACATACTCAATCCAGGATCCCAAACAAGTCACTGAATCTTTCTGAGCCTCAGTTTTGTGTCAAATGAACATAACAGTCACAGAGCTTTTGTGAGTGTCAAATAGACAAACACTTTGAAAGACACAAATGTGGGCCAGACTTGATGGCTCGTGCCTATAATCCCAACAGTTCGGAAGGCGGAGGCAGGAGGATCCCTTGAGCCCAGGAATTGGAGACTGGCCTGGGCAATGTAGAAAGACCTCATCTCTACAAAAAGTAAAATAAATTAGCCAGGCATGATGGCATGCACCTGTGGTCCCAGCTACTTGGGAAGCTGAGGTGGGAGGATGGCTTCAGCCAGGGAGGGCAAGGCTGCAGTGAGCTATGATTGTGCCACTGCCCTCCATCCTGGGTGACAGGGAGACCTGTCTCAAAAAAAAAAAAAAGGACAAAAGTCCTGTGTGAGCACAGTGCTGCTGGAAGTAGGCATGGGCCTCCGTGGGAAAATGTCTAGGGCAGGTTTGTTCTGGTAATGCAGTGTCACTGGGTTTGGGGCCCTGTGGACTGCTAGGCTCCCATCTATGCCAGCTTCCTCCTCCTTGCATGGTGTGGTGCACTCAGTGGGTGCTTCTTCCGCTCTGCCCAGATAGGCTTTATTTATCAAGATGGGAACTGCAACAGAGAAAGAGTTTGATGCACACAGAGCCAGCTAAACAGGAGACAGAGTTTTATTATTGCTCACATCAGCCGCTCTGGAAATTTGGAGGCTAGAGTTTTTTTTAGGTAGCAGGGATAGGGAGAGGGAATGCTGATTGTTTGGGTCAGGGATGCAATCGCAGGAAATTGAATCTGTCTTCTTGCACTGAGTCAGTTCCTGGGTGGGGGCCACGAGACCAGATGAGCCAGTTTACTGGTCTGGGTGGCTAGCACCAGGTGATCCGTAAGAAAGGATGCAGACCTCAGACACCAATCTCAGGTTTTCTAATAGTAACATTATCTACAGGAGCAATTAGGGACATTAGTGAACTTGTGGCCTCTGGCTACGTGACTCCTGAGCCATAATTTCTAATCTTTTTTTTTTTTTTTGAGACACAGTTTCACTCTTGTTGCCCAGGCTGGAGTGCAATGGTGCAATCTCAGCTCACTGCAACCTCTGCCTCTCAGGTTCAAGTGAGTCTCCTGCCTCAGCCTCCCAAGTAACTGGGACTACAGGCATGCACCACCATGTCCAGCTAAGTTTTTGTATTTAGTAGAGATGGGGTTTCACCATGTTGGTCAGGCTGGTCGCAAACTCCTGACCTCAGGTGGTCCACCTTCCTTGGCGTCCCAAAGTGCTGGGATTACAGGCGTGAGCCACCACACCCGGCCCATAATTTCTAATTTTGTGGCTAATTTGTTAGTTTTATAAAGGTGGTCTGGTCCCCAGGCAAGGAGGAGGTTTGTTTTGGGGAGAGGCCATTACCATCTTTGTTTCAAAGTTAAACAGTAAACTGAATTCCTCCCAAAGTTAGTTCGGCCTATGCTCAGAAGTGAACAATGGCAGTTTGGAGGTTAAAAGCAAGGTGGAATTGGTTGGGTCAGATCTCTTTCATTGTCATAATTTCTTCTTCATAATTTTTGCAAAGGTGGTTTCAATGGCTATGTGTATACATGCCAGGCATCCAGATCCAGAAAGCCTGTTAGAAGAATCTATAGAATATTCCAAGCACTGGCTTACATTTCTTGTAAATGGATCTAGGGTGTTGAGGGGAGCTTTTTACCCCAGCTAGCAGCAGAGTGACAACCGTTAAGAAGACTCATTAAATATTCTCAAGTGTTTGCTTCTCAAGAAACATGTGTTCCTGACACTGGGAAGATGCAAAGAGGAAGAAGACAGAGTTCCTGGCCTCAGGGGCCTCCAGGTCTGGTTGGAAGGAGGGAACATGCTGGTGTGGGAGACAGACATCACTCGCTGTGCAGTGTAGCAGGTGTTACTGCAAAGGGACCTCTGGCTGGAGCACAGAGGATGCAGGTCACTGTGGGGAGGGTTCAGGAGGGTGTCTAAGAGGAGGAAGCACCCAGGCTGAGACATGAAGGTGAGTCTAATAGTTCAGTTGAAGGTTAATCTTCTAGCCCTTAAAGTGGACTAGGAAGGGAATCCAGAAGCAGATTGCTTTTCCTGCTGTAAGGAGGTCTTTCTGCAGAGACCCAGAGCCCCGCAGAATGGATAAAACACAACTCACGCATTCATATGTGTTCATCAGAGACTTACGGAGTGCCCCCTCCATGCCAGGCACTGTTTACTGCCTCTCGGAGCTCACTTCAGGTGGAGGGAGGGGATGATAAGTAACCATCCAGGGTGACTGGCAGATGGAGAGGCATGCTATGGGGAACATGTGAGCGTAGATAATTAACTAGCTGCTGCAAGAACCAGCATAATGGCTTAAACCCAGGAGCTGGTTTCCCACTCACAGGCAGGAATCCTGGCCAGTGGGGAAGGAACAGGGACCCCAATGGAAGAAGAGGCTCTGCCACCTTTAGCGTGCAGCCTCCAGTTTCCTGGGACTGACTCCAAGCCAGTAGGCTGGAAGGGGGAAGCAGCATGGAGAAGGCTGTGGTCTGGTCTTCCTGCCAAGGCCTGGGAGTGGGTGTGTCACCTGTGCCCACATTCCATTGGCTAGAACTTGGCCACATGATCACACCTAACTGCAAGGGAAACTGGGTCCAGCCATGTGCCCAGGAAAAGGAACAGCACCTGGGCTTTGAACTGCTAGAAGCCTGATCCATGGGTAGTAAGGATAGGGAGTATGGGGTTGGGGCAAAGATTGTTCATTCATACAGCTAACTTGAATGACCCCTCCATCCTGTGGAGTCCAGCAGGGAAGAAAGTGTGGGGTTCTCAAGGAGGAGAGTGACCGTTTTCCCAGAACAAGTATACAGCACCATGTGATGACAGCAGAAGAGGTAGGGCTGTTTGGGGCATCCACTGCTCTCCAAGAACCTAGGTCCCTTCCCATTTGGCCAGGGCCCCGCCTTCTTAGCAGGTGCCTCTGGGGCCACACAGCCCCTGGGTGTGCTAATGGTCTCCAGGGAGACAGGACTATCGCCTATCTATTAGAGATAATAGAGGCCAGGAGGGTACAGACCTGTCTCTTAGTAAGACCGGCCAGGCTTTCAGGGACTCGGCTGCCACCTGCCAGTTGCCTATAACTTTTAGAAACCCAAGAGCCAACTGTGCTCTTGAATTTCCACACCAACATTGGGAAAGTAGGTGACAGTGGAGGTTATGATGAGCTGAGCATGTTACCTGTTAGTAGCCTGAGCAGGGAGTGCTGTTTACGCCCAGGGTGGCCAGGAAGGCTTCTTGGAGGAAAGGCACATCAGGCCGGACCGGCAGCCTGTCTGGAAGTTCTGCAGTCATCCTTTGCACCGCGCTCCTTCCCCACCTCCCCGCCCAGCCCCAGGGTCACCACTCCACTGTCTCTCCAGCCCAGTGACACCCCTAGAAACCAGGACATCGTATCTGGTTTCATGTCTTATTTCCCATTAGACACCAATGAAAAACCAGAGCTGGATGGTAGTTAAAGCAGTAAAAACAGGATTTGCTCAGAACTGTCGCAATAACAACAAAGAGACCTGGGTGTAGAACTGACTCAACTCCGAATACAGCATGGGCAAGTGGGGGTTAGAGCCAAGGAGCAGGGTCGGAGGCAGTGGACGGAAAATCTCTAAGGGAAAACATGAAGAGTAGGGAGGATTCTGGCGAAACTGACCCAACAGGATTCTTGCTGAAGGCAGGTGGGGTGATCAGACAGCACCTCAGGGGATGGGGGAGGAACGGAAAACTGATCAGATAGCGATAGTGGTCAGATATCAAAGATCGGAGGGGGGTTCTAAACCAACAAAGCAGGATTCTTGCTAAAACTGGATTTTAGGAGGTACAGATGGGCCTAGGAGAAGTTTCAGGAGCCTGACTCAACTTTGGTCAAGCAAAGAATTTTTTTAAGCCTAAGGGACGAATCGGACCACCCAGAGACAGAGACAGCCAGCCTACTTCTATGGGTTCTTTCTTCCTCCCAGGGCCATGTGGCCAAATCTCACTTTCCATTTTTAAACGTTTAAAAATTCAGTGCTCAATTTGCTGAAAATATGATGAAAACCAAAAATCTTTCATGTAACTTTCCATCATCGTTCTTGTACATTTACTATAAATACACAGGTGTCATCCGTAAGTTTGTGTGTGTGTGGTTTTGCTGTTTCTTTTCTTTCCTTTTCTTTTTTGAGATGGACTCTTGCTCTGTCACCTGGGCTGGAGTGCACTCGTGTGATTGGTGTGACGGATGTGATCTTGGCTCACTGCAACCTCCACCTCCTGGATTCAGGCAATTCTCTAGCCTCAGCCTCCTGAGTAGCTGGGACTACAGGGGTGCACCACTGCATCCAGCTAAATTTTGTTTTTTAGTAGAAACCAGATTTCACCATGTTGGCCAGGCTGGTCTCAAACCCCTGACCTCAGTCGATCTGCCCGCCTTGGCCTCCCAAAGTGTTGGGATCACAGGGATGAGCCACCACACCTGGCCTGCTGTTTCCTTGTATTATTCCATTGCTCCCCAAACCTCACTCCCCTGAGATCAGCCACTAGTGTGCACCCAGGCAACATTTAGAAAGCAGCAGATACCTTGTTTTTTTGCCGAGTG